AAGTTTGTAGGAGTATGACTTTGCGCAGGTGGAACACCTTGGATGAAGGAACGAGGTTGTTGGATTTGGAGATACTGGTTAGACAGATCTCTGCCCGCCGGTGGGGTTGTCATCCGGATTACCGTACCGACCTACTAGTATCGTGTCGTGAACACCTTATTCATGCAAGGAACTGAGCGGATGCGATGCCGCCTGCTGTCTACCTTGGTAGAAACGAAAGATATCGAAATCTTCACGTAATGCCTACTTCTAGCTTATTCAATTCCATCGTTCTCGGTAGCTACACAGATGTTCATTTTTTCCTTTGAAGGTGGCTGAGGTACTAGCGTGAATGATCGTGATAGCGAACTGTTCTTATTACTGGTACGTGATACCGGCGACCAGGATGTTACAGCACGTTAAGACACGTGATAGTTGGTAGTGTGTTGTAGTAGGTATAGAGTCTTGTTGGGGGCTCTGGTGATGTCTGTCGTAATTTAAAAGAAAGAAGGATGACTACTTGAAGCGGGCGGCCCATGTGATCGGAGTATGAGTGCAGAGTGATGTGACGAATCATCGGAGCATGCTTTTGCAAAAGGAAGGAAGTGCAGTGAAGTCTGAGATGGACGGAGTAGCTTGCGATAGGAACCGACATTTCGAATGCTAGTCATTGCGACGTAATCGGTGAGAGATATGTCCGCGCTTAAATTTCCGGCTTTTGTCCGCAGCGGGTTGTGAGAGAGGGTGAATCCAATGTCTGGGGGTGGCGACCTGCGTAGAATGTGAGACAACCAACACGCCTATACTTAGTCCCGGAGTACCCCGCCATGGGTCTTATATGTGTGACTCCCTCAATATCATGATCTCTCCGCCCCTGCATGCGCAGCCCTATAAATCACATGCAGGTTGACGACGTGTTTTTGGCCCCCACGATTCCGGTGAAAAGACGTCCTGCGCGACTCGCCCAATCGAAAGATGCGGCATACGTATGGGCCGATGTCCAGAACATCAGGACACGGTGCAATTGCGCAGCGACGGAAAAAGCGGGTAGGACGGCGTGCGCAAATGTGCAATTCCAGGGAGCGGGGACGGCGGGTTTATCAGTAGCGACGTGTTAGTTGTGTTTAGCAGCTGATCCACCAGAAGTGGTGAGGATGGCGAAGTCGCTTCATCCATGCACAGCCCTGCCGCCCTTCAAAGCCTCCACCCATAGGGCGCCTGACGCCATTCACCAATGATACGCGTGCACTAGCAGCCGTTCCTGCGCTTCTTGGGTTGACCGGTTTGTGGCCAGGGTCTCTGTCACCGCTGGATGGAGGACAATTATCGTGGCTCAGTGTCTTTTACCACAGTATGATTGCGGTGAGGGATGAAATAACTCTCGCAATCACCTCCCGCATCAACAGAAACGGCAGAGATACCCAGAAGACGGATGGCTGCTATTGTGCAAATGGGCGAATAATGGTATGCAGCTCGTATTCAGGATCCGAGCAGGGGCTGACTGCGCGGAACGTCAGATGTCCGTGCACTGCTGCCTGGAGTTGAACTCCACTTACTGGAGGAAGCGACGACAACCCGTTCCTTCCCTCTTGAACCACCTATCCCCCCAGCCCGCGCTCCTCGATATCTCTTCTTGCTTCAAATCCTAATCCTCAGGCCTCCCTCCTCGTCCTCTTTTTGCACCGCAGACCCGCCGCCCTTGTGCCTCTTTTGCCGCTCGCCGCCCGTCTTACTCCACGTGCTGCGCCTTCCTATATACCTGCACGTCTCCTCCGACACCAGACCAAAGGACTCAGCGCCCTTTCCTCGCTCGCTGCATCACCATCGTCACCCTAGCCTATCAGCTGCTAGCTTCCGCGGCCGCAAAGGTTCCACTATCCCCGGTCAATGAAAACGTGATCTGGGCTCTGATAACCACTCACACTTGGTCCCTTTGCATCGCCGGGCTTGGGGAACTGTGCAGTCCGTGACTCACCTGAGGCCGCCTTTCCCACTTCAACCGGTACGACGACCAGTCATACTCAACATGTCTGCACCCCACGATCAGAACCGTCATCCCCGCCGCCGTCCTCTTAAGGGTTCCGCATCCCCTCTGAGCACCCATGGCATGCAGCTAAGGAAGAGCGGCACTTTCTCGTCGCCAACCAACATATCGTCCGACATCTGCGAGGTGGACCGATTCTTCATGCCCCGCCGCTCGCCTACCAACACTGACCGGCTGGAAGAGCTAGTCAACGACTCCATCCAGGACCCTAACGTGCGTCGCGTCACCAACCTGCTTAAAGACTTCGAAGCGAGGGTCGCTGGCCATAAGAGCGCTGCTGCCGGTTCTGACCTTCTCAACGATCCGGAGGTTCTTCCCGTCCCGAGCTTTGTCCTCGACAGCGCCCCATTGGACCACACCCCGATGGACATTGACCCAAAGCCTGCACCTCGACGCAGCCCCCACGACCACGCTTCTGACAGCGGTCTGGGTTCAAGCATCAGTGGATCGAAATACGGTAAGGAGTCACTGCAGCCACCCGTCTTGGATGAGAACGCCCCACATACTAACATATATAAAGACGAGATTCGCTCCCAGCGCTCGAGCGTCCGTGACTCCATCAGCACTTCTATCAGCTCGACGCATTCGGCTGTCACCAGGTCCTTCTCATCGCTCACCTTTTCAGAAGAGGATCACGTGCTCGGCGAGCACACGTGCAAGCAGATTCACGACTACATCATCAAGCCCATTCTCGCCGAGGAGTCTCTCAAGGACTTCCACTCCCTCGTCAAGGACGTGCCTCGACGCATAGGTGAGAAGAATATCCGCAACCTCCGTGACCTCGAGAAGACCCTCGTCTTCCTCGCACCGGTAAGTGGAATCACCCGTTGTCTTTCTCAAAGTGCAGAAGCTTATTGCATTTTTCGTGGTTTAAAGGAGCTGTCGGCTTCCCCGGACTCGTACTTCCGCTTTTGCCAACGATCAATCCAACTCTTGGCTACGACCGTCCAGTACATCTCCGAACAAGACCAGCGACTACCAACCGACCGCCCTTATACTGACGGCTACTTCCTCGATTTGATGGAACAGATTAGACGATACGCTTCAATCATGGCTGCTACAAGAGAAAAAGAAACCAAGGGTGAGGATCTGGACGAGATGGATTACTCACGGTATGACCGCGCCGCCGACTTTTTATTCGCCCGCGCTAATCAAAAACTCTATAGCGATGAGAAGATCACCCTCCGCGGTGGCATTAGCCACAACGGCCGTCCTGTCGAGCTCGTCCGGGAGAAGAACGGTAACGTCATACCCATGTCGGCGGATGCCTCAAACGCCTTCAGGATCAAGCGTCGTCTGTCGGACGCCGACGAGGACAGCATGGACGAGGACGAAGTAACACGCTCCATGGCGCGACGACGGAAGTCCGAGAAACCCGGAGACGTGATGCACACTTGCCGTGACTGCAAGAAGGAGTTCAAGCGACCATGCGACCTGACCAAGCACGAGAAGACTCACTCTCGCCCATGGAAGTGCTCCGAGAAGAACTGCAAGTACTTCGAACTCGGCTGGCCGACTGAGAAGGAGCGTGATAGGCACATGAACGACAAGCATTCTGCAGCCCCTGCTCAGTACAAGTGTCTCTACCACCCATGCACGTACGCTTCGAAGCGCGAGTCCAACTGCAAGCAGCACATGGAGAAGGCTCATGGCTGGGAATATGTTCGTTCCAAGAGCAACGGTCGCAAGAAGGGCGCTTCTGGCAGCGAGCACAGCCCTGCTACCCCTCTCACTCCATTCATTGGTACACCCATGTCAGCGACCATGACTACACCCATCACACCATTCGCTGCGTCGCCTCAAGTGCCCATGATCGAGAACTTTGACTGCTATGGCTTCGGAACGCCGGCTTTGAGTGCTCACGGTTACCAAGATGACTTCCGTCGTGACTCGATCACCACCGATGGCTCTCACTTCACATACTCGTCAGGACATTCGCCCGTTGAGCCCACATCCTTCGACGATGCTGTGACGCCAGAAGACACTCACATCAACCACAACGACATCTACAACGCCTGTGCACTGAACGCAAACTTCAACACGGGCTACCAGCAGCCAACCCCAATGAGCACAGCGTTTGACTTCGCGCCGCTGCCATTTGCGACGAACAACAACATGAACGGTCTGCCACATCTATCACCCATGGCTCAGCCTGACATCACGCTCTACTCACCAGACATGGATGAGGGTTTTGGCGGTGACATGGACATGACCATGCAAGGCTTCAGTCGCCCGGGCCAGGATTTCACGTTGTTCGATACTGCGCCACCCAGCCAGATGACGTTCAACCACACAGCCAACTTCTTCCCCGATTTCAACCAGGTTGGAGGCCAGTTCGACCCCCAATACATTCAGCCCACCACTACTTTGGATGATTTGAACTTTATGGGCTTCGGGAACCAGCAGTAAAACCCGCACTGCATTGTATACGATTAGCGGGCACTTGTATAGCCGTCTTTCACATCCTGTACTTAAACAGAAGGAGTAATTTTCCATTGTGCCGGCGTCTGGACACTGGGTGTTTCTTTGAACAGCGATTTACGACTGTTATGACAAGAGGAGGAATTGAGAAGATATAATCGGGCACGCATGCATTTACGGCCTTGCTCTTCACTCCCTCTCTTTACCACACTGGGTGTGGGATTGCGCCTCGAACAGAACAGAAACTCCACAAAAAACAAAGGATCTTTGTTTGTTTGCGCGGGTTTTCATTTCCCCCTTCTTCTTTTATCTGGCGACTGATTTTGATCTCCCCCCTTCTCCTTCTTTGCGGACTGCCCATTTACGGAGTCTTAAGGCTGCGGTAGAGATCATCAGATAGTGTAGGATAGATAGATAAATAAAACTGGTGGAAAGGAAGATCCTGTCTTTGCAGATGTTGAGTGGTGATTGAATGCACGTAATACTAACCCATGTCTAACCGTACACAGCTTTTGATATTCTTGCAGGCAAGGTCAAGGAGAGTCAATCACCCTCATCACTCTGCGCCTAGGCTCCGCTCTCCACGGCCATAGATCGTAGCAACCTCCTTCCGCCACTCCAGTCCATTCCTCGTCAACTCAACCTTCACCTCTAGCTCCCCACACTCCTCCTTGATCTCCCTCGCGATCTTCCTCTCGATGACCCGCATCGCCTCCTCCTCGACGGCCTGACTCCTCACCCCAAACAGTACCAGTACCTTGAGCCCACGCAGACTGTCACGAACGAGACCGATGAAGGCGGAGTTAACACCAAAGCCAGGGAAGTAGATCTCGCGGAATGGGCATTTGAGTACGCGGATGGCGGAGATTTGTCGTGGGAGGAGCGTCTGCGCGATGTATTTGGAAAAGTCGGTGACAGAGCCGAAGGCGAAAGGTGTGGAGTTGAAGACTAGGAGGTGGGTTTCGGTGTAGAGTTGGCGGCAGACTTGCAACAAAGCGAGCTGTTGTATAGTAGTTTCGCCTCCGCCATTCTGCCGCATGTTCTTCTGGCGAGCGATATCATGTGTGTGGAAATCGCGGTGAGAGCTGAGAACCAAGTCATAGATGGTGTTGCGGATTTCAGCTGGGAGACGGAGCAGAGGTGATTGCGTGTTGGGTTGAGCGCTGTGGTGTGTTAGTAGGTTTTCCAAGATCATATCGTACACCAGAATTTATTTCTAGAGAGAGCGTACATGGCGAGCTTCTCTGGATCGGCGCTGAGTTGTAGCATGCCGGGCGCTTCCTCCGAGGCAACCACATGATCTTCTAGACCGACGGATTGCGTGGATTGGCATAGATGTCGGAGTCCGGGGTCCAGAGTAGACTTTAATGCGGACATACTGGTCGATGAATGGTATGGTTGAAAAGGATGCGAATTTTCAGTTGTGGGAAGAGAGAGAGGGTGGGAAAGATAGAGGAAAGCACGAGTCAAACGAGGTAAAGGCGGCTTATGTTCTTCCGAGGTCAGCGGTGGATGAGCGGACGAGGCAGGCGTTTGCTCTCACCCGGCTAGCAATCGTCATGCCATACAACCACTTGGAGACCGGCAGTATGCTACCTTGGTAGGCTTGCATGTAAAACGAAGATGAAGTGAGAGACGAGATGTAGTTGAGCAGTATGTAATGATTTTTGGCTGAGACGAGTGCGCGACAGTATACATTGATCGCCATCTACTAGTACGCCGCCGACCAAGAAACAGAATGAGAAGTCACTCACACCTTCCGCAACGCAAATGATGAATCGGAAAATGTGCTGTCACAATTGTTAAAAATGTGTACAAGATATCTGGAATTCTGGAAGCACACATAACGTCTTTATCGCCGTAACTTCATTTTATAACATCAATCAACATCCTCCTCCGGTATCTCACCACCCAACCCATTCCCATTCCCATTCTCACCCCCATTTGCACCAGCCTCCTCACCCTCTTCCTGCCCTTCACCCAACCCCGCCTCAAGCACCTCAAACCTCTCCAAAAGCCCAACATCCCACCCCTGAAACTTCTTCGCCGTCGGCGGCAACAACCTCTGACTCCTCTCCAACCCCTTCTCCAACTCCTCATACAGATCCACCGGAAACTCCACATCCTCTATACTAGCATTCTCGGGCTCTCCCGGCTTCAAAGCCTGCCAAGTCTGTTTCTGATAGAAGACCTTCATTGTACGTGTAGGATCGAGGCGACCGGGCGTTGGTATCGATGAGGAGAAGAGGAGATCGGGGGTGAAGACCCAGATGAGGAGGGAGGGTACGGGGGTTTCTTGGGATTGGTTGGGTGGTGCGGCGGTGTGGATGTGGAATTTACGGATGCCAGTGTTTTCGATGAGGTGGAGGAGGCGGGCTGATATCCATTTCTGGACTGTATGCGTGGTTGGGGATGATGGTGTGGTTTTTGCAGATCGTATGCTAATGGCCCATTTTCGTATTCGCCAGCCGTCGGTTGTGGGATCCTGGGAGCCGATTGTGTGCTTGCAATGCTTGCATCGGACGAGATCTTTGTTCGGGCTTTCGTCATCAGAGGAGAGCTGTGTCATGTTAGCATATGCGACACTAGACCACAGTGGATAACAGTGTAAGATGTAGCCTTGGCTAAACCTGCCAATCCCAAGGGTCTGAGGGTATAGAGACAGTGAAACGCCAGGCCGCTGACTCAATGGCACCGGCAACCCATCAACCTGGGGAAGAGGGTACACCGGAACCGAGAGTACGTGTATGAGCCTATCAATTTAGGGCGCTTGTATCGACGATGAATGCCACTGAAGAGGCGAGTTCGCCTTCTTTGCGCCCATACATGTCACGAAGTCATGGGGTGACGATGCAGGAACCGCACGACACAATTGAAAAAAAGTTGTAGCTTACCTGTGCGCCTTCGCAATCCGACTCTGCCAGTAGAAAGTTGGCCAGATCAACAAACCCTACACCTCCAACAGCCTGCAGTCGATTCCCAGCCGCGTAGCCCTTCTGACCGACAACGTCTTCATGCGTATGGTCGTGCAAGTGGTGCTCGTCCGGCTTATGGCAATGCCAAAAGTCCATCATCTCAGCCCAATTCTCATTAGGCAGATCTCTCCACTGTTGAATCTTTCCTCTCGCCACAAGGATACTGTCGCAGCTCTTACAAGTAATCTCCACGTCCTTTGCATCGTTGAGCGAAGCACCGTCCCATGGTACAATGTTGGCCTGTCGGTCTTCGCGTTGCAGTGTCCCCAGAAGGTCGCTTCCTTCCTTTTCTTCCAGCTGAAGACGGAGTGTCAACTCTTTGGTCGGAGGCTGTGATGGTAATTCGAGTGCAGCGTCACCTCCGCCTTTGACGTTGATAGGAAGGCGTATTGACGCGGACTGGCCCTCATGCGATACAGTGATGTAGGACCCATCAGACGACAGCTTCGCGTCCGTCGACCGAGAGAAATTCGTGCGCAGCGATGCAAAAAGCGTGACCGTACGTATATGCAGCAGCAGTTCGGCGTATAGCGTTATGGAAGTTTCGTTGGGTGACATGGGTCGCGCATTGTCTTCGTCACTCTGCAGGAGGTTCGGCGCGTGGATTTTGGTAGGCTCGGGCGCAGGCTTGGGATTCATCAGGTCTTTGATCGCTTCAGGAGAGAGGCCGAGAGCTTCGTATGCTGACTCGGGAAGTAGCGGGCGCGACATACTTCGTGATTGCGCGCCATGGTGACGGGCGGGGTGAACGTGGGGTTGGGGAGGTCACTGAGCTACGCGCGCGACGAAGTTGACTTAATCGGGAGTGGGTCCCGCCTTGGGGAGGTTCTAGCTGCATCTGGCCGACCACGAGAGTGTCTGACAGATGAACATGAACGGTGTACTATATGAAGTACTTGCTCATTTACTTTATGTTCATGTTGAAGGTATCGAGGGCAGGTAATTACATTATCTACAAACACTACACACTCGCAGTATGGGAATAAGTTATCTTGCTCATATGTGTCCACCCAAATCTACTGACCCTTCTTCTCGCCAGCCTTCTTCTCCTGCTCCAGAATATACTGTACACCTCTCTTGATACCCTCATCCAGAGTAACAAGAGGTTCATATCCTAACCGCAGTCTCGCCTTGTTAATGCTGTGGTACTTGGACATGCTGCTGTACTTGACCTGAGCCCTAGTCAGGTTAGGCTTCTTTCCCATGAGCCAGAAGACGTTCTCCAGAATCGTGCCAATAGCCCACATAAATTCGGTGCTAAGATGCCATACGCTGCTCAACGGTGTTCGGTCGCCCGCCTCGTGCCATACCGCACGCGCAAAGTCCCAGAAGTATACGGGTTGTCCATTGGTGATGATGAAGGCCTCCCCGTCGACGCGCTCGTTGTCGAGAGGAATTGAGGGTAGGCGTTTGTGCGTATGGAGGAGCGCGATTGCGGCGAGCACGTGGCCGTATGCGACGTTCTCGACGTAGGTGAAGTCGAACAGGTTGGTGTTCTCGCCGACTTGGAACTTGGTCTGTCCTTTGCGGTATGCGCCAACCATCTTAGGAAGCAGTTGTACGTCGCCTTCACCGAAGATGCCAGCGGGACGGATGGCGCAGGTAAGGAAGTTTGGGGAGTTCTCAGGATGGCGGTTCGCTTGGAGGACGGCCGTCTCGGCGTATGCCTAGTAGATCGTTAGCATATAAGACATAACAATGCGATTGTGTGCCTACCTTTGTGGTTGTGTAGTACTCAGGCTGGTCGTCGCCAGTAACAAGCGGCCATCTCTCGTCCGCGTTGACGAGATCGTTTACGTGGTCGAGGATGACACTCGCTGAGCTTGTGTACACGAAGCCTTTCACTCCAGACTCTTGCGCGGCCTGTATCAGGACCTTGGTACCCCCAACATTGACCTTGTCGTGAATTTCAGGCTTCAGATCGAAGTGTGGTGATGCTGTATGGATGACGGCGTCGGGCTTGATCTGCGAGAACAGAGCCTTCATAGCCGGAGCATCCGTGATGTCGCCATCGTGGTAGGAGACGTTCGGGCTGGCATTGCGATTCGAGTTGGTTCGTAGATCGAGCACGGCGATTTGTGTCTGGGGGTGACGCTTGACGATCAAGCTGACGATGTGGCTTCCTAGAAAGCCGCAGCCTCCAACAACGAGGACCTTTCCGAGCGATTGAATGGTATCTGAGTTATTCGGCATGGTGGAGGATGGAGTGTCAGTGCAATTGGTGGTGCGACGATCAGGGATTGTTTTGCGGAGAGCGCTCGGGGGAACACTTTCCGGGGGCTTGGGTTAGCTTCAAGGTTCCCGCATGTCAGGGTCTCAACGGGCATACTCGCGCGTGCAAAAGCGCCGTACCCTGTACAAGAAGATGAACAGGTGCTCTGCAGCCTACAACAGCATGGAAATACAAATATTTGAACGTGTGAGAGCAATGTAGACTTCTCGGTCGCTTACATCTCCAACTGGACAAGGGTGAAATTTCACAAGTTCAAGTCGACCCTCGCAGCCTACAACAGGATGGAATATTAAGAATCATGGTTTCCAGGGGCATCATAGACATCTGGTGTATATGCTTTCACTTCAGTAAGGTAAATATCATTCGTATTTTATGACTAACGCCGTTACCCATGCTGTTCCCATAGCCCTGATGAACGAACGCCGTGTAATGCAAGCCACCTTGCAAGGTCAGGCTTGGGGTATCATGTAATGTCATATCGAGAGGAAGATCGGCCGTGGGATCATTAATTCGCAATCTCTAAAAGCAGTTCCTAGCCGACTATTAGCAGACATCGTTGTAACGTCCACGAATGAAACTCACTCAGCGCTATCCTGTGCGGATCGCCTCAATTTACGGTTATAGAGCTTCTTTTCGTCTGGAGTACCCCAGAACAGCTTCGCAGCCTCGGGATTGACCAGTGTGCGTGGGTCGTATGCAGGTGACTCCTCTTCGATAGCCGCAATGATGGCCTCAATATGTGAGCGCATATCGTCCTTACGGGCGGCATCGTAGCAGAGTATGCCATCCGGCGATACGCGATGGTGGTAGAGAACTGGTGTCTATCAAATTGTTAGCTTGTCTTGGGGAATACGTTACGAGAAAATTCGACAACGGCGCCTCCATATAACAGCCGGGCGGATACATACTAAATATTAGTTAGCGGAAAAGTACTGAATTGTACGGGTGGTGACTACATTACCCTCAAATCTAACACGCGGTAGAACCTCTGGGAACTTGGGGCTAATGTATAGCATAATCCGGAACATGCCGCCGTCGAGGTTCGTCATAGGTCTCCCGAACAGGACAAGCTGCCATACGAATGGGTTCTTATCGACAAGATCAAGATCCAGAGTAACGGCGTCTTGCTTCTTGTACTTCTCGATGATCTGCTCATACTGGCGCTGAAGGTTGTTGGCAATACTCATCTCCTTGCTAACAGCCATCATGCCCTCGGCGGCCCAAGCCTCCATCTCCTTGTTGAGCGTCTCGAAAATCTTGACCAGACGCTCGCGGAGCTGTGTGTACTGAAATGTGCCCTCCATGGCGTTGCCCGGGCCCTCGAACGGCATCTTCTCGAAGCGGTCACCATCCTTGTTCTTCTTCGCTGCCTCGTCCACGCGAGCTAGGTACGATTGGTAGTACCACAGGAAGCGTCGCTTGCAGAGGTCCTTGAAGGGCTCGAATGGCGCGTCGTCCCTGCTCGACTGGTAGTCCTCCTCCGCGTTGTAGACCGTTACGCCAGACCTCCCCCAATTGATGCCCAGGTATTCTTCCAGGCGATCGATGACGGATATGCGCAGCGACTCGTGTCGGATCTTGTCTACGTATGCCTCCTGGTTCTTTTTGTCGTAGTCCGAGTTTGCGTCCTCGAAGCCAGGCTCGTTCTCGTACGGGTTGCTGGACATGAGGCTCTGGATGGAGATAAGGATAGACTCGAGGCCCTGGGCAGACGACCATTCTTCACCACGCTCTCCTCGCCATGTACTGCATTCTGTTAGCGTAGACCTAGGTCGTGCAATCGCAGTCACTTACCCAAGAATCGACAGGCACACCTTACCGCCTGCGTATATATTGGGATTGAATCGCGTACGCCCACCATGGGTAGTTATAGCCGTGACACTCGGGGCCTTAGTTGGGTATTCGCGTGCGAACTTGACAGCGAACTCGAAGAAGCCGAACTCGTAGGGTGTGTCAGGTGGGCCGATGATTAGCGCCCGCACATGGCGCACGTCAATATCGCGGCAGGCAACGGCTATGGAGAGGTCGGAGCCGCGCTGGATCTCGCCGAGTTCGCGGGTGATTCTAAGAATGCTCTGGTTGGACATGATGGTGCGTGGAGGCCTCCCGGCAGCGGTTTGGATAGTTGAGATTCGCGGGGTTGGTGAAGCTCAACGGTCCGCGTTGGCCGGGCTGAGAATATTGAGCGGGTGTGGGTGCAGCGGTGTGGAGTGGGCTTCGAGGGGAAACAGTGGTAGGAGTGAGCGGGCCTCAACCGTGTGAATGGCCAAGCAAACACCGATGTGAGCTGTCAAAGGCGAGTGGGTAGTTGGCTGCGGTGTGAAGCTAGCCCCTCCCAGGGTCCCACAGGGCGGAACGCGAGCCGCAACACCACGCCGCCGAAAGTCGCGATAGTCTGTTCCTTGCGCACCGATTGTCAAGATGTAATAAGCAAGCCAAGTGTGTTCTTAGGTTGTCGGCTAACACTAAAGTGTAGGGTGGTGTTCGCGCTGTTCGTCATCAGCAAGTCTGGCGGTCTCATCTACAATCGCGAGTTCCACGCGGGCATGAGCAAGCTCACCAGCAATGACTACCTCATGCTCGCTGGATCTTTTCATGGGTAATTCGCAATCTTCTGGGCGTATGAACTTCCACTGATGAGCGTCTAGAATGCACGCCATCACAGCGCAGCTCTCTCCAGTCCCACCCGTCCGCGCGCCGCCTCCCTCTACCACCACACCGAATCTCCAGACCTTCCCTGTGCGCGCAACCGGTATCGAGGTCCTCGAAAGCTCCCACTTCCGCATTCAATGTTTCCAAACGCAAACCGGTGTCAAGTTCTTGCTCTTCACTGAGCCCCAACAACCAAACGTGGACACTATGATGAAGAGGATATATGAGTTGTATGCAGATTACGTCATGAAGAATCCATTCTATACCGTTGAGATGCCGATTCGGTGCGAGAAGTTTGATCGCGGGCTGGACAGCTTCGTCAAAGTCAGAGGGGGTTGAGGAGACCGTATTGGGAATATGATACCACGAATTGGAATGAAGAGAAATAGGGCAGGACGCGTATTGAACAGCACGAGGAGCGTTCTACTGCGACATGCATTGCCACTGGCTGTAGTTCCAGAGCACACTAGAGACTCTCGTAACAAAGCTCCAGGGCATCACTCTTGGGTCCGTAACATGTCTGATGGTGTCGGGTTTGGGGACGAAGAGAGACCACCCACTAGGGAAGTCAAGTTGTGAGATGTGCTGTAGAAGATAGTACTGTCTCCAGTACCTATCAATGGAGACTAGTGTTCATTATTTGCTTCGTTTCATCCATGCCATGCGGTAGACGCCAGCTCTAGTCATACAGTAGACGCCGTGAATACTCCTGCTCCATCTTGAAGCATCAAGGCGTTGCTCTTCCTAGCTGCGCTATGTCCGCTTATGCCGTGTCCATCTTGTCTGGGTCGTCGTCCTTCTTGTCCTTGCTGCCGCTTCCACCAGG